TAAACGAAATCTTTACGTTTTAGAGACGATAAAAAGCTAAAGAAATTTTCACGGTACTACGTGACGAAAAAGAGACTTTACTTTACGCAATGGTTAGGTTTTCGTAATTAAAATAGCTTTAGAACGTAATTAAAATATTCGAAAAAATACTGCAACCCTAATGTTTATAGTTAAATAAAATGCTTTTGTTAAGTAAAATTTCTTTGAATTGTTTAGATAGGTAGGTGCGGAAAATTTTTATTAGACCCAGCAAAATTTTATAATTTTATAACAATTTTTGCTATTAATTTGTCTTTAAAAATGACCCCATTGATAAATTATGTGGGTAGCGTGTCGTCTCGAACTTATGAATGTTTTCCGTTGCGTCATCAATTTCAAATGTAAAAACCGGTTTATCAATATACGTCCGGTATACATCCCACATACGTATACAAAGAAAACAGCGACAATAGCAGTAACAGTTATGTCTGTTCACAGATTTATGACGTAACAGAAAACCTGTTTTTTGAGATACGTTCGGCATACGTTCCACATACGTATACAAAGAACAGCAAATTGTAATGTCTGCAGACAGCACATGTGCTTGGTTTACAAATCTTCTTCTTCTTCCTTGGTGGCCTAAGGCCTTAATGGTCTCGGTTTCAATGAACCACTTTGACCAGCAACAAGTTTTAATGTCCATGCGCTTCACGAAGCCATCCACCCATAGACACGTGAATTTTCCAAATCTTGGATCATCCACTCCATGTGTTGTACAATTGACAAAATACCTCGCTAGAAGGTCAAAGCTTGCGATATTGTCCCAAAATACAGGTATATTTCTATACCCGGAATTCCTTTTTGTCCCTCCTGGGTCAAAGTCAGCTATGTTTCAAACTTTTCATCGAGCAATGACCCAGAGATGAAAGTACGATGCACCACACACGAAAGACAAAATCGAACTCCGGTTTACAAATGGACTCAATGTAAAACATTCATTTATATTTTAGGCAAAAAGTAAGCAGGCGCAATAAATAAAGAAGATTTACATTATAAATTTCACTTAAGTGACCCCACAAAGCCAAAGAGTTTCTTGTTTTTTAAGAAGAATTTTTATTTTTATTTTTTAATAAATTCTTGGAACAGTAAAATTTGTGTTATTTTTATTTTTTAATAAATTCTTGGAACAGTAAAATTTGTGTTAGGTACCTATTTATTTTATTTTTTCCTTAGGTACAGTTGGAATAATGGCTAATTTACGAATTATTTTGGTGCAATTCATTAGTAAATGGTAGGTAATGAATCATTACCTACCATTTCAGCCACGTGACTCAAGTATTTTGATTGGCTAAACCATAGCCTTTAATGTGGGTGGATATTTTATTGCATTGCATAAAACATGATATCTTTGCACAGGAGGTAAAGTAGCTTGAAATAATTTCAAGCTACTTTACCCCCTGTGCAAAGATAACATGTCTTATAAAACATATATGCAATGCAATAAAATATCTACCCACATTAAATTTAAGCCTTTAAAGGCTATGGTTTAGCCAAATTTGGCACTATTTAAATAGTCACGTGGCTGAAATGGTAGATAATGAAATGGTGATATTAAACTCACCGTGAACCTAACGATTTTAAGTAATTTTTATACAGGGTGTCCCAAAAGTCAACGATATCCTTTGAAGAACTAATAGGCCAGCTCATGACTAATCAGAATATCAAAACCTTGGTAAAAAATCGTTATAGGTATCTATAGATTTTGAGATATTGACATTTTCATGAATTTTATGAAACTTGATGATAGATTAGTTTTTGGAGTGTCAAAGCTTAAAAATTTCATATTCTAAGATTTTATTTTAGGTTGCGCAACCCTGATTATTGATTACAGTTAAAAATAAAACTAGTTAGTTTTATTAATAGTAGTTTTTATCTTTTGAAAACAAACAAGGTCTCAAGTTTTATAAAATTCATAAAAATGCCAATATCTCAAAAACTAACGACTAAGGTCATGTTTTGATTTTCTGATTGGTCATGAAGTACCTATCAGTCCTCCAAATCCTTAAGGTTATCGTTTACTTTTGGGACACGCTGTATAGAAAAACAAACAAGGTCTCAAGTTTTATAAAATTCATAAAAATGGAAATATCTCAAAAACTAACGACTAAGGTCATGTTTTGATTTTCTGATTGGTCATGAAGTACCTATCAGTCCTCCAAATCCTTAAGGTTATCGTTTACTTTTGGGACACGCTGTATAGTAAAGGTAACTCGAGTTTGTTACAATTGCGTTACAATTTCAACCCGCCAAAAATGTTAAATTTGTCAATAAAACTTTACATTATAGTCACTATTACATTGAGAATAGTAAGTAATACTTTACATTAAAGTCACAATCACATTGAGAATAGTACGTACTTAATACGTACAAAATTATTGAAATTTCCGTCACGACTTACTCAATATTTCGTATCGACTTTTCGTATCGAAGTTTTTGATACGAAAACGAAGCTTAAATTAAGAACGGTTTGGCCACTATTTGGTCTACGATCGATTCGATCGATTCGAATTAGTTATGAACCACGATCACCTCACGTTATGTGACTTTTTCGATGGTGACGAGCTTCACAGTATTAGTAATGCTTCCGTGATGGTGTGCTACCTGGGATCTTTAACAACAAACCAGGCTTTGTTATCTATGTTATCTTTGTTATCTATGCAACAAACTAATGCGCTCTGTCCTTGTTTAACACACGTTGCGTGAGGGTGACATCGGGCTCAAGTTCGTCTTCAGCCGGGTCTACAATTGTCGCAGGAGTCCGATCAGCGTTGCCAGTGCCAGTGCTTTTGTACTGAAATCAGTACTTTTTAAGGTCTGTCAGTACGTCAGTGCTACTTTCATAGTGTCAGTACGTTTTGCAAAATTTCTTTCCCAACAAATAAAGGTTAAAACTTAAACAAATGACAAAGAAAACTAGGTATAAAAAAAATTCCAAAATATACATACATCATGATGCTATACATAAATCTTAAACTAAAAAATGTCATGATTCCTGCAAGGTACCTACGGTACGTACAGGTATACCTGTACAGGTATAATCGTACAAATGAACTTAAAGTAAAATAATCTCGTTCATTTTTTTTTTTTTTTTTGGTGTATAAAGGCCTATGCACTGTTGTTTGCCATTTTTAATATAAAATACAACCCCAATTAACTTTTTATTGACACCTATCACTAGACCGGCACATTGAGGCTTAAAAAAAATGCGATCACAGTGCAAATTGTCACTGCTAAGAAATATATTGGTATGTTTTAAATTGCGTGACCGCCGGAGGGTCAAGTTCGTCGAGTACGAGTACTAACATTAAATAGATACCTACAAGAAATATAACCAAAATTTTAACAAAATCTTACTGTTTTTTTTAAACAGTACCTTTTGAGTCAAATCAGTACGTTTTTCATTTCAAATCAGTATAAAATTTTTTTCCTGGTCTTGCAACGCTGGGTCCGATCCAGGGTGGTTCTTTCACCCTGGTTCAATCGCAGAACATATGCTTATATAAGCTTGCGCAAAGCACACCGCGACGTGGCGATGGAGCAAGGTTCTTTTGTCAGCTGGGTACCCGTGCTTTGCGCAAGCTTCTGTTCTGCGATCTACGGCGTGCGACAATTGTAGACCCGGCTTTAGATCCGAGTGCCCTAACCTAGCGGTTCCTTCTTTCTCCTAAGTTGCTTTTTCTTCTAAGGGTTCCTTGCATTACATACCTACGTAAATGAAAACAACAACAATTATAATGTCTGTGGCACAGAGTCTGTGCTTGGTTAAGAATTTGATGACGCAATTTCAAACACAGTGCTGCCAGAGCAGATGGTCGGATAATCCGTATATATTCGTGGAAAGGGTGGGGGGAAGCCTCAAAAAATCCGTAAAAATCCGTTTTTGTCTAAATTTTGAAGAATTTCTTCTATAAGGGGGATTTTCGTGACAAAACATACCTTTCGTCAAAGAAAATCCGAAACATCTCAGAATTTTTCGGGGGAGTTTCAGAAGTTTGAACCTCTGCATCAGTGATATAATTCTCGTCACTTTCCATTTTTCACAAAATAAAGTATTTTATATACAGATTCGGATATATAATAAACATTGACTTTGAGATCAAAATATTGCCACAATGCAGTTCAATGCACTGAACTGGAGTCAGTATTGGTTAGTCGTTACTATTGGTGGCATTGCGCCGCTTATATATTGGCAGCAATAACAACGTGTTATAAAACCTTAACAAATGATATGAAACTATCGTTCTCTTTGTCACACTCAATGAAAAAGCATATGTTTCGCATATATTCGGCGTTTAAGAATCCTATATTAAGAACACATCCTTTTTCAATCCGCTTTCTTTTTCTGTCTAACGTTGTAAAAAGGAAGAGGAATAGAAGCGTGACAAAGATGATCAAAAAACGGGGCAAAAATGATGTTTTTTTAGTATTAGTATGAAGCTATCTTAAAAATCCGTAAAAATCCGTATTTGATGAAAATCCGTTCAAAATCCGTTTCCAATTTCTCTAGACCTGGAAAATCCGTAAAAAACGGATAAATCCGTTCATCTGGCAGCACTGTTCAAACATTTGCCGCGACGACTGGTCGTCGCGGCGAATGTTTGAAATTGCGTCATCAATGTCGAATGTCAAAAACAGAATTCTCGTTCGGTTTTTGAAATGAAATGCCTCTGGTTTTTAGATTTTACCTGTATTAATGTTGTACAATTGTTAAGGAAAAAATTCTCCTGACAAAGCAACTTATGCATTTGTCCCGATCACTATATAAACCGTAACCACGTCACCTAGCGACAATTTATTAACAGAAACTATTTATGATTTACTATATAATATATATATGATTTAGGTGAAAAAAACATTTATTTAGATACCTCCTTTGATAGGAGTCCTATCTCTGAGAAAAGATTTGTAAAGCTATGCAACTAAGATCACACTACAACAACAACTTTTAAAAATCACTGTTGGTAAGACTGTATCTTCAAAATTTGTTGTGACTAATGACGTTTGTTTGACTGCAAAAATTATTACTCGATAAATCTAATCTAAAGAAGTAAAAACATGGGTTTTCCACCAGTTCCAGTAGAAATTAAGCCAGTGGCCCATCTACTAAAGTTGGCTGATGAACATGAATCCCGTAATATCGTCGTGGCCTACTGGGGTAAAAAAAACCTTGTAAATTAATTGAATCTGATTACCTCATATTTACTGCGTTTTAGCTCGTATGGCTGCTTGCAGACTTGCTTTAAAAATATTGCCTCCAGGCAAGAAACCCCCTCAAGTATCAGAATTGTTGACGGCCTTATTGGATTGGCTCGAACAAACTAAACGAGCCAACAGTGAAAATGAGGGAATTACACAGGAACCTGCTGCTGCAGCAATTATTGAGGAATATGCCTTGCAGCTTTTTGACCATGGAGATCAACAAGACAGAGCTGAGATTTACAACAAGTAATGTATCAATACATAACAATTTTTATAATTTAAAAGCGTATTCATGCTCACTTAAAATAAAAAATCGTGAACGATCATACTGATAACATAAGAAATAAAAAATGTTGTCACTCAAATATATTTTATTATAGGTTGTGTTCCGTAATTTACTGTCAGTACTGAAAACGCCTTCCGAAATCCACTTTTAGTTTCTGAGCTCAGTGGTAAATACTACCCTTTTATAAATGTACAGCATATACATTTTACTGAAACAGCTGGTGACAGGGAGGTGCTGTGGCTCCAGTAAAACACATAACCAAACAAAAAATAGCTGTCAAATAAAGTGAAGGATATAAATTATATCATAATTTGTTATCATAATATATTATAATGGTATTTGGTGAATACCTATAGGACTAATAATTTCAATATTTATTGATAAAATATAACTTGAAAGTACAAGCAGCAGTGACAAAGGCAGGTCGCCGGGGAGTACGCATACGAAGACCCAGAATATGAAACTACCTACTAGGTAGTACCTAGAAAATGTTATATATTTGTATTCAGCGGACGAATTTAAGAGTAATTTTTGGTATTTGTCATATTGTTGTGGTGTCAGTGAAATTTTATATTTCCTATTCCTATATACATTTTTCGACGCGGACGACGATAACATTAAATTTTCCATATTTCTCTGCCATAAATCAAACATTATATTTCTTATAACTGTTATATTTATTTTTTATTTATGTTCTCTGCTGTAAAGTTTGTCAATAGTCAGTAAATCACAAATCATAACCTTGCCTAACCATTGTCACTTTCTGCTGCTACTGAGGCGCGTTCCAATTTTACTATTGCGTCAATACTGAATAAATTACGGAACGGTCTTTTTTCGCTACTGACAGTAAAATTACTGATAGTAATGGCAGTAAATTACGGAACACAACCATAGTGGATTATACACTTTGCGTCAAATTTAACGCACCACTAAAAATTTGCCACAATTTCAAAATTGATTTTCTGGCGAACCGTCAAACTGAATTTGTTGATTTTTTTATTAAATATTAAGTTGCAGGTTTATTTTTCGATAATAATGCGTTTATTGAAATAGTTCTTCAAATTTACATTTTGAGTATATTACAGGGTGCATGAGTGATAATAAGTTTTTCCCCGGAAATTTAAAAAACCCTGGGGGTTGTACCAGCTTTAGGGGCATTCCACGTTACTCGGTAATTTTTCCCGCCCGTCACAATTAAAAATTGTGAGTAAAAGCCACAAGTTATTAAATTAATATTTTATAATATTATTTTTATTGTTCTTATATATATGATATATGATACGGTTATGAATGTAATCGGTCGTGTTTTAAGTGCTCCGAGTTACATTTAAAAATTATGGGTAATAAAGGAATGGTTATTTTGAAAACTTTACCAATTGATTATTATGTGCACGATTATTTAAAACTTTTTGTTAAATTGTGTTAAAGTGTGATGATGGTGAAGGATTTTAATATTTAATAAAACGTTTTATTATCTCACGGACAAAATTTTAACAGAACAAAAAGTGTGTAGTTGTAAAAACAGTATTTAAAAAAACAATAAAAACAATAAACTAGATAATTGGACAAAAGGCTACTGTTTCCCTTGTGAGATTCGAACTCGGGTCGGCGAGGCGGTTCTGTTGCTCCGCGGAGCTGGGTTGGTCTCTTGCCAGCTGTGCTACTTGCTTGTAGTGGTTATTTGTGCTAATTAGTCTTAATTATATTAGAAATATATAATGACGGATAAAAATTCCAAACCGTGTAAAAAATGCCAAACGGTACCTAAAATATTTGTAAAATGCATAAATTGCGATTCAGTAATGCACGAAAGCTGTGCAAAGTTAAAAAATGCTAAGTTTTTAAATGATAAGGATATTGTTTGCTGTGAAAATATTCAAGATACAGTACAAACAAATCTAAATAGCACATCTGGAATTTCCAATAATCCTCTAGCTGTCGAAATATATTATCTTAAGGAGATAATTAAGCAAAAAGATGTATTAATTGATAGCCAGAAAACAATAATTGATTCTTTAAAGGATCAGATAAATTTAATTAATAAAGTCAATAATTTAAAAGCAAGTAAACCCCAAAATATTAACAGAAAAGATATTGAACTAAACAATAAAGAAAATGTGATAAATAAAAAAGAAAATGCCATAAACAAAAAAGAAATTGCAATAAACAATAAATTTGTAGTTAATGATAAACCAAATAGCAAAGAAAAAACTGATATTGCTGTGGTTCCAAACGTAATATCATCCCAAAGTGTATCTCTAGGAATTCTAGAAAGTGCAACCAAAAATGCATGTGAAAAATTAATTAATATTAATAAACCTATAGCTTCAACATCTGGTGGATATGCTAATGCAATCAAAAAGCCTAGTACTAGAACTAATAAGACTGCTGTTATTGGAAAACTGAAGAGCGCTTCTACTTGTGCATTAAAAGTTGTCCCGAAGAAAGCTTTTGTTTATGTATCTAGACTAGACCCTGCGACTAAAGAAAAGGATCTGGTAACATATTTGAAGGATAGTTTTCCAGAAATTATTTGTGAAACACTGGCTTCCAAATTTCCTAACTTCTATTCTTCTTTTAAATTGACGGTCGACCTACCCAACTTTGAAAAAGTTATGGACCCGGAGCTCTGGCCTGAAGGTGCTTATTTGTCAAGGTTTTTTTACCCAAGGATAAAAAACCAGCAAACAACCTAAAATGTAGCAATACTACTATTTTATCTTCATATAATAACTCGAAAAGTCCCATAAAATTATTACACATAAATTTGTGTTCAATTAAAAACAAAATTGATGAAATGGACTACCTAATAAATTCAGAAAATCTTGATGTTGTCTGTGTAAGTGAACATTTTCTTAATGTAAACGAAATTCAATCTCTTAGTTTTAATAACTTTCAAGTCATATCCTATTTTTCCAGAGTAAATCATATCAGAGGGGGTTCCCTCATAATGTGTAATAAAAAATTTCAAACAAAACAAATCTTGTTTATTGAAAACTTATCAAGTGAAATGACTTGTGAAGTTTCATCAATTGAATTATGCTTATATAAATGTTGTATTGTTAGTATTTACAGACCACCAAATGGTAACATTGATTTATTTCTTACCATTTTGGGACAAATTCTGGAATATGCAAATAAGACTTTTAAATATGTTATTTTGGTAGGTGATTTTAACTTAAATTTTAACTTAAAAAATAAACAATGTTTAAAGTTTTTAGATATTACTAATTTATATGGACACAAACAAGTTATATTTGATAATACAAGGTTTAAAAATTGCATAGACAATATTTTTGTAAATTTTGTTGATATTCTTGAATTTAAAGCATATGTATTTGATCCATTATTGTCTGATCATCTTGCTGTATGTATAGAAACTTGCTTTCAGTTAGAGGAAAAAAATTTATTGCAAACAGAGTGGTATAGACCTTTCTCAGAGCATGGAGTCTGCAACTTTTATAGAAATTTAGAAAATGAATCTTGGTCTTTTATTAGTGAAAATACTGATATTAACGCTAAATTAAACATATTTATAAATAAACTTGTTTTAAATATGGAATTGTCATTTCCTCTTAAAATGTCACAAACTATAAATAAGGTGAAAAAAATTGACTGGTTCACACCCAAATTAAAGTCAATGCGAGAAAATCTAAAATTTTTAAAGGAACTTTATAATTGTTGTAGACTACCCGAAATATATAACTCTTTTAAATGCTTTAGGTCGAAGTATAGAGATGAGATAAAGCGGAGTAAGCGGACAGCAAATTCAAACTATATAAAAACTGCAAGCAATAAGTCCAAAGCTGCTTGGGACATTCTCAGTGCACATAAGACAAGGCATAAGCCTAAATCAACAAATGAAGTATCTGCCAATGAGTTGAATGACTTTTTTGTGGATATAGCGAGTAGTATAGTTTCTTCTCAGCCAACGTCAAGTCTGTCGCCTTTGGAGTTCCTTAATGGGCAGAGGGCGGATGCCATGCCGAGACAATTTTCTTTTAGAGAGTTTACCTATAACGAGGTTAGACATGCCATAGACACTTTAAAAAATAAGTCTAGTAGAGATATCTATGGTCTTAGTGTGTCATTAATAAAACGAGTTAAAAATCTCCTTATAATTCCAATAACCAAACTTTTTAACCTATGCTTAAAACACAAAGTTTATCCGGATCCTCTTAAGGTTAGTAAGGTTATTCCGGTATATAAAAAGGGTGATGTGGGTGAGGTAGGAAACTACAGACCCATCTCATTGATTCCAGTAATATCAAAAGTTTTCGAATTTCTGCTAAAATCCCAACTTATTGTTTTTTTCGAAGAAAACAATTTATTAACAAAAAACCAATATGGGTTTAGGGTTGGAAAGTCCACAAGTGAAGCTTGCATAAGGCTTGTGGAATACATAATCGAGGGCTTTGAAAGTAAGCTTTACACTGGTTCAGTATTTTGCGACCTCAGTAAGGCCTTCGATTGCGTCGACCACAAGATCCTTTTAAAAAAATTACATTATTATGGTGTCAATGAGACGGGGCTGGAGTTGCTGACTAGCTACTTGGAAAACAGATACCAATATACGTATTTTAATAGTGTTCTCTCTGATCGAGGATTGGTCAAGCATGGAGTTCCCCAGGGCTCTATATTGGGGCCTCTTCTCTTCCTAATCTACATAAATGATCTTTCATCACTTGAGGCGGTGAATGAACTAGTTCTGTTTGCAGATGACACAACTTTGTCTTTTAAAAGTAATTGTCTAAATAGCCTAAAAAGTTCAATGGAGGATGGCATGAAATGTGTAAAAGAGTGGTTTCTAGCAAACCATTTATCACTAAATGAAGAAAAAACTACAAAAATGGTGTTTTCACTAAGAAATATCTCAGGAGAAAATCCAGACTTCTCTAAATTTCTGGGGATCATAATTGATACCCGCTTGACGTTTGAACACCACATAAATTATCTGGCAAATAAATTAACTTCCAGTATATTCCTCCTTCGTCAAATCAGCAATTTTGTTCATCTGGAAGTCCAAAAAATTGCTTACCATTCTTTTATACATTCCATGCTTTCTTATGGACTAATTATCTGGGGACATTCCTCTCATATGGAGAGAATATTTTCTCTTCAAAGAAGAGCTGTTAGGATTCTGGCAGGCCTGGGGTATAGGGAAGATGCTAGGGGGGCTTTTATTAATTTAAAAATTCTAACATTGCCTTCACAATATGTGCTGGAATGTCTCATCTATGCGAAGGATAATATTGATAAATATAATTCACACAGCGGTATTCATGAACACAATACAAGAAACAATGGTAACTTGCTTCCTGCTTTTCTTCGCTTGTCAAAATCTTTTAACTCGACAATGTACTATGTCCCAGTATTCTATAACAAGCTTCCATCTCATGTAAAGAGTATGGAAAAAAATTGTTTAAAAATGTGATAAAAGCATATCTATTACAACATGCATTTTATAATTTTAATGAATTTTTAACGAGTGCCATAATGTAATTATTTATTTTATTTTTGTATACTCTTATTGTTAGCTGTTAGTTTAGTGTAAAAAAAAATCATGGGTTTAACTAATTAAATATTATACAGTATGTACCTGACGAATGTAAAAATTGTAAAATTTATAACATGAATAAATATTATTATTATTATTATTATTATTATAACTTATTAAAAGCATAATAAACAATATTTTAAAATAAATTTTATAACGTGTTGTTTTTACTCACAATTTTCAATTGTGACGGGCGGGACAAAAATCCCCGAGTAACGTGGAATGACCCTTTAACAGCATATGACTCATATAATTAAACTATAGCCCCATATTTTCTTAACATTTTCTTTTTTGATTTACGTCGCTAGGTATCTATTTTTTAAAATGAAATATAGGGTTAAAACTAAATAACTAACAGTTTAATGTAAAATGAAAGAACTTAATATAGGTAGGTCATGGAAAATAAATAATGGTGTGCAAATATAATTTTCATTTAAGTTGTCTGCATAAAGTTATTGTAATGGAGCGCCAAGTGAGAAATTAGGATCGTGATAAATGTGTAAGAATTATTACATTGGCCGAGCAATTAAGCTGCCATAGCTCGGAGATTGGGAGTTAATCGTATCTCAATATCCCGTGTTATTCGACGTTTTGAACAAACCAACGATCAAAACAGACGTGATGGGCAGGGAAGGCATTGAAGAACAGCCGTTTTCTTTATTTGCATGCTTTGAGAGAACGATTTGTAACAGCAAGAAATCTACAGGTACAACTTAATGCTACTCATAATTTTCAACCAAGTGTGTCCACCGTAAGAAGACGTCTTGCTGGAATATTAAGGATTGGCAGCATGTACTATTTACAGACAAGTTCAGGTTTTGTTTATTCAGCTCTGATCGGCGAGTAAGGGTCCTCCGACGTCCAAATGAGATTTTTTCGTAGTGTAACATTCGTGAAACCACGCTATTTAATGGAGGTTCTGTAATGGTTTGGGGAGGAATTTCCTTGACAGCTCGCACAGAACTCGTCATTGTTCGTGGAGGTACCATGAATAGTGTACGATATATCATGGAAAACGATATAATAAAACCTAAAAACCAAAACACTGATCTGTCAACAATACCATTAGGGTCAAGTCACACTACAATATGTTCATAGTTATTGAATTTCTACAAAAGTGTTATTTTTAATTTTTATTTAATTTTATACAGCGTATTCAAAAATGCAGTCATAGGTTTAAATTAACTTGAACAGTGTAGAAAATGACAAACTTACATGATAAGTTGACTGGACTGTTATTGACAATTTGTGTAGCAGACGTAGACATATTTACGTGTTAGTTCTTCTGTTTTGTATTTTTTTTTTATTATATATTATTAGTAATTTTTATTTTAAAATATATAGATATATTCACATATTACGTTACGAGATTTTCTACCTTTTTCGACCACCTGGTTGTGCTCATCTAGTGACATCACAAATCCAAATTTTATCCTCAAATTTGAATGAATATTTGTATTAGTTTAAGGTGACGTCACATAGTTAACGACAACTTGTGACGAAGTGTGCGGAGATAGGATCCCCTATTTTCACGCTTCGTCACGATTGTTCGACCTCCCCCTTAGTATGTATTTATTTTTAATAAATTAGCAATTATAAATTATAAATGATGTATTAAAATCTATTCTATTCTATAATATATGTTTTTAAACTAAATTTTTTAGTGAATTCTTCTATTTACGTCATTTTGATTTATGGCAACCCTAGCCACAAATATCATTGCACCGGAATAAATTATATTTCCAACGCACGCTTATTGTCAAAATTGGTTTAAAAATACGTCTGCGTGAGCCCTGAAAGAAAACGTGCACAACATTACCCTCTACTCTATTTTTAAACAAAATTAGAAAATTTACAAAAATATAACTTAATTTATTTTATTCTTATATTATCCATTTAATTATTCTTCATTGTTTTTTATATAAATTTAATATTTTAGAAACACCGTCAAAACATTTTATACATGTGGCATGCTGATGGATTGTTTGGAACAGTTTGGTTTGTCTGAAGACATCACCGAAAAACGTAGATATGCCAAATGGAAGGCAGCTTATATTCACAACTGTTTAAAAACAGGTGATCGACCAATACCAGGTAATCCAGGTGAGCATGAAGATAACATTATGCACATAAGTGAGCTCACTGATGAAGAAAAAGCCAAATTCAAAGAGGACTTGGAAAAGGAAAGAACAAAAGATGGAGCTAATGATAACTTGGGGCTTTTGGGTATACCAAATTTTGGCAGCACCACCAGCGAAACTCCCGACGATAATATAGTTCCTAATCCAGCTCCGGCCCCGGCTTCTACACCCACAACTCCAAGCATTCAGCCACAACCAACACCTTTTGTGCCCCCCCAGCCTGTAATAACCCCATTTCAACCTGCAACTCCAGTAACTCCTACGACCCCCTCAGCTACCGGCTATGCCCCCGATCCTGCACAAATTCAAAAGGCGCAGAAATTCTGCAAATATGCTACATCTGCTTTAAATTATGACGACGTTAAAACTGCAGTCGAAAATTTGCAAAAAGCTTTAAACATGTTGCAGTTTGGTAAGGAAGCTTAAGTTATTATTATAGCTATTAATATTGTTATGTTACTGTCCATTTTTTTGTTTTAATGCATTCATAAATTAAGAATAACATAGGCATAGTTGAGATTTCTGTATTTTTAAAATTTGGAGTTCATATATTTAAATTGTATTTTTATAAGAATATAATGTTATGTTTTTGTGTTAAATAAATGCTTTGCTTTTATTGCCTTAATATTTTATTTATCTTTTTTTATTTATTTTTCTACTGTACGAAAAATACGGGTATTCCAAAAAAATTATGTAAATGAATATATTTACTTTATATAATAATAATAGATAGATATTTATTAATTATCACATCATACATAACAATAATATATAACAATGACAATCAAAAGGCCATTGACCTAAGTCCTTCAGCCATACTTTATATAAATTAAATAAAAATTGGTTAAATTACACGTAACAATTTTTACTAAGCTTGATGTGGTTTAACTAAGTCAATGTGGTTCCAAAGACAATTTTGAATTGTCTTTGATTATCGCCAAGATCTTGTAGGTATTTAGTTGGACGATATTTTTATATCAATATATTTTAAAATATATTGGTATAAAAAAACTTTTTTAATGAAAAATTTTCATGTTTCCGTTTTTTTATTAAGCGGTTTTTATAGGCAGCTTGAGAACCATAATTTACAAGAAAGGTTTAGTAATAAATTATTTAACCAATTTAAAAATAAATGCATTAAATTTTTTTATTGAAACTCAACATTCCCAACATTTTTTTAATGCCTACCAATCAAAAAAACGTATCCAAAAAAGTGCTTTAAATAGTTAATTAATTGACTACCACTACCCCGAAAAAGCGTATATATCGATACATATAATATATCGATATATATTGATCACAGAGGAGACTACTCTGTGATATGTATATTGATATTCAATACGTATCATATGATATATCGAAAAAATAATCTGCCATTCCTAGACGTAAGTAGAATAATGAAAGCAAAATAAATATGTATACCAATAATTATTGTATTGATACTAGGAGTGTCAATCCCGGGATGCCGTAAAAACCGATACCGGGATCTTCTTAATAAGTTACAAAGAATAATAGTTATTTATGTCATAAGGCTGAAAAGTAAGTTTTTTTCTACTAAGCTCAAAGTTCAAAACATAAAACGTACTTAGATAGCTTCAGATGTCTCAGCAGTTTTTTTATTGGTCCTAATTAGGACCAATAAAAAAACTGATAGCACACTTTATTCTAAGAATGTTTTTAAACCTTCCAGTGAAAATATTCTTAGGATCATGCTATATTTCTTCTAAAGAACATGCTTAAAAGAAATATAGCATGATCCTAAGAATATTCTTACTGGCCTATAGGCAGGTTCTCAGAAGGTGCAAAGTTTTAGTGGTAAAAATTAGTTCCCTCTAAACATATATAGGCTTAGAATGTTAAGAAAGTAATTGCTATAGAAAGTTCATTTAGTAATATTCCTGTTAAGCATATGCTTAACAGGAATATTACTAAATGAACTAATATATATTTAGTTCAGTTACACAGCAAACGAAACATTATAGAAGTGTATAGGATGACGCCACGTTTGAATATAGTTTTCTAAATCTCCCCACGGTATAGATTTGTATTCGTCAGTCGAGCGTTTCAATACTCTCCACAGTATAGAGGTCGTAATTTCACTTTTGAACTAGTATTAATATAAAAATTATTTTATGCTTAAAAAAACTATACCTATACGACATGATTGTGATTTTTTTCATTTTATTAATTAATTAAGCTGTGTTGAATATTTTTCCTAAAGGAATAATTGCCAATGGGCCATTAATTCATTTGTTCGTAGATGCTACAATAACCTGCACTGGTGTGTACTTTTTTATCAACCAGATTTAAATATTGCTGTACTAACATATACCAGTGGAGATAGTGCAGGGTCTACCAACAGACCTCATTACTAAATTATTAAAGTTTAATAGCATATCGATCATTTTTTCAACATAACCTCTGAAATTTTTATATAATACATAAATATACTTAACATCATATCCTCTGTACTTTACATACCTGAGTTGTTAAGGTAAATAAAAATCAGACAAAGAAACCAAAGAAAGGAACTATTTTCAACAAAATCATATGCAGAAATGAGAAAATTCAAACTACTTGCATCCATCAAAAGATTAAAACTTCTTGCAATATTACACCCTTTTTTTATACTCTCAGAAATATTTACTAGAACAGTATTAGAGAGACTCCAGTTTCTATAACTTGGTAGAGTAAAGATAAGTCGAAACCGTTGCGATATTGCATTGCGCTGTTTTTGTATAATTCTTGGGGACATTAACGAAAATCATTGCCAGTAAAATTCGAAAAGCTTGAGTTTCTATGTCTCTGAGGAGAATAGGAATTCGAAGTTGCTGCACCATTGGACTGAACCCTTTTTTAATCATTCCTAGAGACATAAATGACTGCAGCATTCGACAGGGTCGAGTTTCTACCTCTCTGTTGAATATAAAAAAACAAAATAATGTATCTTGTAAGACACCATTGAGTTTGACTTTAAATATAGTCGTGCATAGGTATAGAGCCGAAAAATATAAAAACAAAGCACGATTCAATACAGTTCTAATAAAACTTTAAGATTTAATATTCAAACACGGAGTCATCCTATACAGTAGGTTGAGCCAAAAAAACTAACCTATCGGATTTATGGGTTAAAATGAACCTACATACCGAGCAAAAAATTTCCCTGCAAGGCAAAATTTTTTGCTCAATTTTAAAAGGTGTCGGTGAGCATTCTAAGTTTTCCATTGAAATAACACGTAAAAAAATTTGTTTTCACTAAAAAGACTATAACTTTTGAACCTTTTGAGATAAAAATTTTTACGTTGCGGATTCTTGTAGAGCATAAAATTTCCCAAAGAATCTATACCAGGATTATTTTTTTAGTTCAAAAATTCGTATGTTTGAAAGCTTTGAAAAGTGTAAAAAATCACTAAAACTGCATTTTTATTGATTTTTTACACTTTTCAAAGCTTTCAAACATACGAATTTTTGAATTAAAAAAAATAATCCTGGTATAGATTCTTTGGGAAATTTTATGCTCTACAAGAATCCACGACGTAAAAAATTTTATCTCAAACGGTTCAAAAGTTATAGTCTTTTTAATGAAAAAAGATTTTTTTACGTGTTATTTCAATGGAAAACTTAGAATGCTCACCGACACCTTTTAAAATTGAGCAAAAAATTTTGCCTTGCAGGGAAACTTTTTGCTCGGTATGTAGGTTCATTTTAACCCATAAATCCGATAGGTTAGTTTTTTTGGCTCACCCTACTATACAGTTCTATATTTTTCCGTTTGCTGCAGCAGTACACATGTGTACTTATATAATAGTAAAATATACCATAAACTACGTATAAAGGTATACTTATACCCATACCCAGGGATTCCCATGTATTCCCATTATATTTTATTGTATTCCTATGTATTCCTATGGTATTCCCCCTCTAAAATGTTCAGGGATTCCCAGGTGTGGGTGACCCCTCGACCCATACTTAAGTATACTAGATATACCTATAGGTACTATAATTAGTAATTAGTATTAAACACTAAGTAAAAAACACAATCCAAATATATATATTCGTTGTCAAAACCGGATAAAAGCAGATGATTGCGGATATAAATTCTTCGTCGAAGCCGGATAAAAGCAGATAAAAGCGGGTAAAAATATCATCTGATATCATCTGCTTTTGTCCGCATCGCTATATCCGCGAACACCCGGTTGGTTGTGTTTTATGTTCTGATTACACAGCAAACGAAAAATTATAGAAGTGTATAGGATGACTCCGCGTTTGAATATCAAATCTTAAAGTTTTATCATAACTGTATTGAATCGTGCTTTGTTTTTATATTTTTCGGCTCTATACCTATGCACGACTATATTTAAAGTCAAACTCAATGGTGTCTTACAAGATACATTATTTTGATTTTCTATATTCAACAGAGGAGTAGAAACTCGACCCTGTCGAATGGTGCAGTCATATATGTCTCTAGAAATTATTAAAAAAGGGTTCAGTCCAATGGTGCAGCAACTTCGGATTCCTATTCTCCTCAGAGACATAGAAACTCAAGCTTTTCGAATTTTACTGGCAATGATTTTCGTTAATGTCCCCGAGAATTATACAAAAACAGCGCAATGCAATATCGCAACGGTTTCGACTTCTCTTTACTCTACCAAGTTATAGAAACTGGAGTCTCTCTAATACTGTTCTAGTCAATATTTCTGAGAGTATAAAAAGAGGGTGTAATATTGCAAGAAGTTTTGATCTTTTGATGGATGAATTTTCTCATTTCTCCATATGATTTTGTTGAAAATAGTTCCTTTCTTTGGTTCCTTTGTCTGATTTTTATTTACCGTAACAACTCAGGTATGTAAAGCACAGAGGATATGATGTTAAGTATATTTATGTATTATATAAAGTACCTATATTTGTATTAAAAATTTAAGAGGTTATGTTGAAAAATGATCGATATGCTATTAAACTTTAATAATTTAGTAATTAGGTCTGTTGGTAGACCCTGCACTATCTCCACTGGTATAGTTTTGTAATATTTAAATCTGGTTGATGAAAAAGTACACACCAGTGCAGGTTATTGTAGCATCTACGAACAAATGAATTAATGGCCCATTGGCAATTATTCCTTTAGGAAAAATATTCAACACAGCTTAATTAATTAATAAAATGAAAAAAATCACAATCATGTCGTATATAGTTTTTTTTTAAGCATAAAATAATTTTTATATTAATACTAGTTCAAAAGTGAAATTACGACCTCTATACTGTGGAGAGTATTGAAACGCTCGACTGACGAATACCACTCTATACCGTAGGGAGATTTAGAAATCGATATTCAAACGTGGCGTCATCCTATACACCTCTATAATTTTCCGTTTGCTGTGTAGTGCACCCCCGCAATCATCTGCAATCATCTGTTTTTAACCGTCTTCACTGTGTTTCGTTTATATCTGAATTTGTCCGGAATCATCTGCAAACGTCTGCTTACGTCTGGTTTTATCCGCGATTACCTGCATTTTTTTCGTCTATTTTTGTCGGGTTTTATCTGCAAACGTCTGGTTTTAACCGCGAGCATATGCTTTTACCCGCAAACGTCTGCCTAGTCCAATTTCACCCGCCAACATATGCTTTTATCCGCCAACATCTGCTTTTATTCGCGACCATCTGCTTTCATCCGCGAACATCTGCAATCACCCGCGAACATCTGCAATCACCCGCGCACATCTGCTTTTACCCGCGAACGTCTGCTTTCATGCAGATCTGTGAACGCCTGATATCATCCGGTTAGTGCACCCCCGCATTCACCCGCAAACATCTGCTTTTATCCGCGAACAACTGCAATCATCTGCGAACATCTGCTTTCTTCCGCGAACATCTGATTTTATCCGCCAACATCTGCTTTTATCCGCGAACATCTGCTTTCATCCGCGAACATCTGCAGTCATCCGCGAAAAACTGTTTTTATCCGCGAACATCTGCAATCACCCGCGAACATCTTCTTTCATTCGCAAACGTCTGGTTTTATCCGCAAACATGCTTTTATCTGCGAACGCCCGATTTCATCCGGTTAGTGCACCCCCGCAAACATCTGCTTTTATCCGCCAACATCTCATTTTATCCGCGAACATCTGCAATCATCCGCGAATATCTGCTTTCATCCGCAAACATCTGCTTTTATCCGCAAACATCTGCTTTTATCCGCTAACATCTCATTTTATCCGCGAACATCTGCTTTTATCCGCAAACATCTGCTTTCATTCGCAAACATCTCATTTAATCCGAGAACATCTGCTTTTATCCGCAAACATTTCCTTTAATCCGCAAACATCTGCTTTCATCCGCAAACATACGGTTTCACCCGCAAACATGCTTTTATCTGCGAACGCCTGATTTTAGAAGAATTTCAAAATTTGTACGGTAAAATGTCTTTTAATATTCACTTATTAAGCCATTTGAGAAAGTGTGTAAGACGTTTGGGCCCATTGAGGACTTTTTCCACTTTTCCCTTTGAGGGAAAAATTGGACAACTAAAAATCCTTTTAACTGGGCCTAAATATGTCCAACAACAAAGTATTTAAAAACTTTAAGCCTGCCACTCACATTTAAAAAAAATAATTGCGTTGAATCAATTTTAGAGTACTACGAGGATGTTTTTTTAAAAAAATTAATGCCAACTGAAATTATTTTTCCATTGGGAAAATGTCGTGTTGAAAATCAGCTATAGTGCAGAGTACCACAGAAATAATAAGTCTATTAATTCTTACATATGTATTAAAAATATTGGTTATGCCAAAATTAAAAAGTTTATAAAGTTAGATGAAAAATTCTACGCCGAAATAAGTGTTCTTCAAACAAATTCCATACAAATTGAAGATGTTATAATTAATATATTTGAAATTAAACATATATGTTTTTTAACAATTAATTTAAATGTAAGCTTAATGATTAAAAAATGTCTATTTATGTCTTTTAACAAAGACCTTATTTGTATTTTACCAAATAATATTGAAGTTCAATAAACCTATTTCCTTTACAGGTTATTTTTATTCAAATAATTCCTTAGAGTTATAAAGTTGTGTGCCGTGAACGGCTATCAACCAGTTAGTTAAAGCTCGGTAAAATTTGACAAAGGAGGTAAACTAAACACGAGAAAAAGGAAAACAAAAAGCGCGAATGAAACCAGACGTTTGCGTACAAAACAGGACCGAAATGGACAAAGGAAATGCAGGCAAACCGAACGCGGATGAAAGCAGAGGTTTGCAATTAAAATCAGATGTTTGCAGATGTTCGCGGATAAAATCAGATGTTTGCGTATAAAATCAGATGTTTGCGGATAAAAGCAGATGTTTGCAGATAAAAGCAGATGTTTGCCGATAAAATCAGATGTTTGCGGATAAAATCAGATGTTTGCGGATAAAAGCTAATGTTTGTGGATGAAAGCAGATGTTCGCGGATAAAAGCAGATTTTTATGGATAAATGCAGATGTTTGCGGATAACATTAGATGTTTGCGGATAACATCAGATGTTTGCGGATAAAATCAGATGTTTGCGGATAAAAGCAGATGTTTGCCGATAAAATCAGATGTTTGCGGATAAAATCAGATGTTTGCGGATAAAAGCATATGTTTGCGGATAAAATCAGATGTTTGCGGATAAAATCAGATGTTTGCGGATAAAAGCAGATGTTTGCGGATAAAAGCATATGTTTGCGGATAAAAGCATATGTTTGCAGATGAAAACAGATGTTTGGGGATAAAATGAGATGTTTGCGGATAAAAGCAAATGTTTGTGGATGAAAGCAGATGTTCGCGGATAAAAGCAGATGTTTATGGATAAATGCAGATGTTTGCGGATAACATCAGATATTTGCGGATAAAATCAGATGTTTGCGGATAAAAGCAGATGTTTGCAGATTAAAATAGATGTTTGCGGATAAAAGCAGATGTTTGGAGATTAAAACATATGTTTGCGGATAAAAGCCGATGTTCGCGGATAAAATCAGATAAAACCGGGTACAGGCTCTTTTGCTACACCTTGTATTAATAATAATAATATTATTATTTATTTATTTTAAAAGTCAGTGTTATTTTTCTTGGTTTTTGACCTAAGAATGTTGTTTTGTTTTTATTTTTTAATAAAAGTATTGCCTTTTATATTTATTTGTAACTGTAAAAGTGCATCAATTTAAAAAGTTGTTTAATATCTATCAATATAAGAAATCTTTTTGATAAAAACCGTGTATAGGCCCTTAAACAGCTTTAGCCCAGGGCCCCAAAAGGTAACGGTCCGCCCCTGAGGACTGGGCAGTTTATTAAAATTTAATAGTCCTACAAATGATTTGCTTTAATAATAAACTGTTGTTCTATAAATATTTAAATATGAACAATAGCGGATAAATATAACCAGAAATTCATTGAACAGGCTCTTTTGTGCCACAAAGCGTACACGCCCTATTAAGTATTAAGAATAGCCTGGTTTAGCCAAAGTATAGCGTTTAGTGTAAAGTGAGTAATCAATGTTTATACTGTGGTTTAGCGTCGGTCAGATTGGGCTGAATATTCCAGAGCCGGTCCTGTCCACGCCGTAAAGGTTCGCTTCTTAACTGTATTCGGCGAATACTATTCGCTGTAGTGCCGGGACAATCACCTGCACCGAAATAGAGGTGTGGCGCCACACTGCCGAAAATCTGTCAAAAATCGTTTTGTAGTTATATTTTAATAACCTTAGTAGCAATAACAACAATTAAATTATGGGTATCAGAGTGTTTATCAGCGGGATCTCCGGCAATAAAGAGGTTAGTGACACTGTTCTTATGTAAAATTTAATTTAGATTTATTTATACACCTGTTTTTTGACAGGTAAAGAAAAGACAGCAGAGGGTCCTGCTGATTTTGGACTCGAAAAATATTAAGTACGATGTTGTGGACATCGCAGAACCAGGTAGCGAGGAGGACAAAGATTTTATGCATACGAATTCAGCTTCCAATGGTGCCACAATTAGTGATCCAAATCCCAGACACCCGCTTCCACCGCAAATTTTTAACGACGACGTTTACTGTGGGGTAAGTTTACATAACAAAAGAAAAACATCAGTCTCTTTGGTCTAATTCAAGCAATTGCTTTGTTGGCATTGTATTAGGCTTGGGGTCATTGAATGTCCATTGATTATCCATTTGACATTGTCAATTTGACAAATATGGACTGTAATTTACAGTTTAATAACAATTAAATCATTTAATTTAAATGTTTATTAGGGTTATTGAAGTATAAAATAAAATTAGACAACATAAGAAAAATATAAATTTCAGTCAAGTGGGTATAATTTGTTTACACTCTATTCTAATGACTAACAGTAGTACTGTTACAGTACCAACATATTCATTTATTAATCATAGTTTTTTTTTGTTTGTACAGGAAAGAAATAAAATTTTGAGGTTTGCATGTCATTTCTACTTTTATTCCAACTAATCAGCTTAATTAAATTGGATTAAGTATCTATTAATAATTGGAAAGTATGCTTTTAGCTAACCCATATCTTTATCAAATACTGTGCTTGAAAATATTTACATCTAATAATTATTAATTAATTATTATTAATTATTATTAATTATTAATATTTATGTGTTTCAAAAACGGCGATTGTTTAAAAAAAAAACAATAATAATAATTTACATATTATAATAATTGTTACAAAAACAAATCAAATAATTAAATCACATTATATCCCTGCTTAAAATACCCCATAGAGACCTATACAAAATAATCTATTGGGCGCTACCGGATTCAATTTGTGCATTTGTCCATGGTTTTTTCCGGATACGGCCCGATAGAAAATGTAGGATATGAAATTACCTATAGGCACACCATAACTTTTACATTTTCCCTATTGAGACCGATAGCAAATAACTCAATGAAGGATATATAGGGATATCCCTATAGAGCAACCATAAAACATTTGACAAAATTTTATTAAAACCTATGGCGTTCTATAGGGGAAAGCTAATTCTACATTTATGTGTATTTTCCCCATTGAAACCGATAGCAAATAAATCAAGGGTGGATATCCCTATAGAACAACCATAAATCTCAACTATGGGTCCTATACAAACCGATACACCCTATAGAAACACCATACATCCCGATACAAATATCTATCGGGTATTTTAAGCAGGGATTAATAGTCAGTCACAGAAATATATATAAACCCTTTAATTTATTTAATTCATATTCATATGGGATGTTTTCCAGATATAAATTAATTTATCATTATATTTTTACTAACACTATTTTCTTTTTATTTTTGTATGAGATTGAATAATTATCTGAACAATATCTTATAAATAAATTTATTGTTGACATACAAACAGCATACATTTTGTCTTATTGGACTTTAATATTCACAAAGTAAGTTCATGTAGCAAACATTTTTTGGCATCCATTAATTTGAAACAAAAATTGTCCTTGAAACGAGTCTACTTATTATTGTGCTTAATTTAAACGCAATTTTTTGTCAAACTTAATTTAATTAACAACCAGCTTTAGGTTTTCACAAATTATTAAAAAAGTAATTATAATTAGGTATACCTCACACAACAAATAGTTGTTTTAATACTTATAAATATCAATTTTTTAATATCTTTTTTTAGTAAAAAATATTTTTATAAGAAAATGGACAGCTTAATTATTTTAATGTATATTTTTAATTACCTACCTACTTAAAATTTGAAATGTTGAGATTTATGTTAGAATGTCAGAATTTTTTTCATTTACTGGTTTTAAGATTTTTAAATACATTCTTTTTTTTACTCCATATTATTTACATTATTTGGGATTTTTCCATATATATATATAATAATAATAATAACAACTTTTTTCTACTCCCACCTTTAAAACGCCCATTATCGCCCATGTTTCCATGACACTAAATGACCTTTTAAATACACATTGACAAGTTGTGGCTTTATGGCGTTTTAGTCACGGGCTGAAGTTAGCAACAGGTTTTTAGTCACGGGCTGAAGTTAGCTTTAAGTTAGTTGACACTTGTCAAATGTCATTCAATAGTTAAAATAAAGGTCCCTTCTTGTAAAATATTACTAAATGTGAAAATTATTTTATTATCGCATTATAAAAATACAAAAGCATTAAATAGCAAGGGCGTCGATAATTTTTTCTTTTGGGGGGGGGGGTAAGGAAAATATTTTTTTCTATAACCAAGCGAAAAGTACAAATTTGCGCTTCCAAAAGAAAGCGCAAAGTTGCATTTTTCCGAGGAGCGAGCGTGTTTTTACTTTGTCGCTCGCTTAGTTACCATGGAAACCATAATAAACAAACGTTTAGTGTATTTGCGACTTTTGACACAAACTTTAAATTTGACCAAACATTCTTATAGAAACACCGGTTGTAGAAAAAAACCTGTGTGTAATTCGAGCGCAAAGTGACATTGCCGCTCTCGCGAGATAGCCGAACTTCTCGTTCAGAGCGGCAATGTATCACTTTGCGCTCTTAATACACAAATAGATGTTGCAAAACTTCTTATTGTTTATTTGCTTTTGTATATTGGGGAAAAGGATTATAAGGTACCAAAACTAAATATCTCATAAACATAAACATATATATCTTTTTTAAGTACCTAGGTAATATTTTTAAATATAAAATTCAAATAATAAAATTAAGTCTTTTCTTCATTTTTGCAAAACGATCCAAAACCTCAATATCAATATCATCGTGTGCGCATCTCTGATGTACTAAAGTCTAGATCATCGTTTCTTAACCTCGGGTCGCGACCCAAATTTGGGTCGCGGGCCATATCGAGATGGGTCGCGGGACTTGCCGGACTTTTTGAAAAAGCGCGCCGTAATCACTGCATCCTTAATTTAAATTAAGAAAATGTAGAAAATTGATGATTTTATTTTTTATCGGGTCGCGAGTTTCTAATATTTTTGAATTGTGGGTCACCAGCCAAAAAGGTTAAGAACCGCTGATATATTATATCAGTATTTATCTAGACTTTAGTACATCAGAGATGCGCACACGATGCGAGAGATTATTAATCTAAGGATGCTGGGGGCGGACATTCACTCTAGATGATGTCCACAAGATGCGAAATCATTACGATTTTGAGAATTAAATTCACTATCTATCTTACCACCATCTAGTGTAATAGTAATAAAATAGGGCTTTTATTATGCCACACTTTAAAAACTATTCATAGAGGGCGACTTGCATTCATAAATTATATTTGATATAATTTTTTTATTATGACTTCTACCTTGGGGGGGGGTAATTACCCCCATTACCCCCCCTTATCGACGCCCTTGTTAAATAGTTTCTCTTTTGAAAAGTTTATATGAACATTGTACATACCTTTTAATTTCTCTAGAAGTAAACTGGATATAATTTAAATTCGAGCTCGGACTCCACCGTGAAGTGCTCATAAAAAATTTTCTTTACTTTCAGTGTCAAAAAAACACAGATTTTCCTATAGTTTTATAGATGGCGCTCTATACCAATATTTGATTTAAATCATTTTAAGATAATAATAAGTATTTGTCGTAGAAAGCGCAAGCTCGCTCGTCTCTAAAATGGCATTTATCAAACTTGATACATAATATACTATATTATTCACGTTGTTAGGTATCAGTGATTGGCTGATATCAATACTCACTGTGATTGGAATTAAATCAGCCAATCACTAATGCCACCCAGGTGGAGAGCCTTCCAGATTTGGCCTGAAGACTCCGGTTTTCGGGAACGATCTCCGAGATTCACGTTAATTTGGTTTTCATGGAAACGCGTTTAACATTTGACAAAAGCATACTTAACCAAATTTTAAGCACGTGGTGCGGTATTTAGAAAGTTACCATGTTTCTTTTCGAAAATTGTAACCTCTCCCACCGCTCTGTAAAAATCTCTAAATTTAAACAAATCGGGTTTTAAATTGGTAAAAAGTGAGGTTGGAACTTTCTAACATGTCAGATTTTTTATATTTAGGAGGGGCGACTTCTTCTTCTTCTTAACTCTGATCACAATTCTGTGTTCAGAGTAATGACCTTTATAATTTAAAAGCTATTTGGCCAGCACATTATATTCTTCGGTTTCTACCAAGATCCCCTTGACTCAGTATCTGAGTTGTCTCATCCCTTGGTCTAATTGTTGTTTTAAGGTTGTTTTCTACGATATATATGTGTTTTTTGCTAAAATGAGTTTAGTAGGGTGTTAGTACGGACAGACGTTACAAACAAAGGTAAGACTTTTCACGCTTGGGGGCAGCGGCCAAGCGACTTTGGTATAGGAACCCAGGAAGTGTTATTGGAAGGATCTGTAAAAAGAAATAAATGTTATAATGTTATTTTGTGGTAGTCCTTAAATTTTAATGGTATTTTTATGGTTTTTTTACTAAGGTTTCTCAGAATCAGTTGTAGGTTTGTCGGTAATTCTAATCCATTTTGTCCCATTTCGAAGTATATGTCGCCATTGATTGGGTATTCTAGTAAAATATGTGTTGGGTCACCCACTTGTCCGCATTCGCAGTAGGGGTTTTCTAGTATACCTATTCTGTGTAGGTGTGCGTTTGTAAGGTAATGTCCTGTTCTTAAGCGCATGATAGCTGTTAGGTGTCTTCGATTTTGTATTTTGTTGGTATAGAACCACGGTTTGTTCGGAAGTTCGTCGACTATCTTTCCATACCAGCTCCCTGTTCTGGGAAATGTTTTTAACCATTCCTTGTTGTATGCTTGGTAAAGTTCTTTTTTATTTCAGGTAGTATTTCTGTCATCTCTGGTTGAAAATTTAAAGGAACATTAAGGTTTACCCCAATATTTGCTAGTTGGTCTGCAACCACATTTCCGTGGATTTCGTCGTGTCCTGGTACCCATGCTAATATAAAGTCAAAATCGTTTTCTGTGGCTATTGTAATAAATAGTGGCAATCGATATATATTGGTCTTTTGATGAGTATTAATTGTTTATTTATTTTTCAAGGGCACTAGCAGAGTCTGTTAAAATTAGGTTACGTTTTATATTTTTAGAGATTGCAATTTATACACCCTTACATATTGCGGCCA